AGCGAGAAGGTTGCTGGTTCAAATCCCGGTCCGGGGGCCTTCCTGGGTGGAGTTTGCATGTTCTCTCCGTGCTTGCGTGGGTTTTCTCCGGGTACTCCGGTTTCCTCCCACAGACCAAAAACATGCATGTTAGGCTGATTGGTAACTCTAAATTGTCCCTAGGTGTGAGTGAGAGAGTGAATGGTTGTTTGTCTCGTTTGCCTCTATGTTTCCCTGTGATGGACTGGAGACATGTCCAGGGTGTCCCCCGCCCCTCGCACAGTGATTGCTGGTCATGGGCACTGGCGATCCCCGTGACCCAAAATGGAAGAAGCGGGTAAAAGATAATGGATGGATGGATATATATATATATATATATATATATATATATATATATATATATATATATATGACCAAATTATATAACCAAATGTAAACATTTATAGTAAGGCTGTGCCAGTAGTGAACTATAAAAGGGCTTTGAATAAGATTAAGGTACAATATTTTACTCTTATCAAGATTGCCTGAAGTTTTAGTTGGCTTTTATCGATGTGATTGGCAGCCAGAAATGTTTGAATTGGTAACTACAACAGATGAAAAGAAATGTTGAAAATCCAATCATTGATGATGTGTATAAACTGCTGCAGGGCAAAATTGTTCAGCAGATTAATTGCTTTCTTTTTCTAGTCATGTTCAAATACTTGGAGGCCAAAATGGTTTCTGCTGGCGCCACACTTTACAATGCCCAATTAAAATCTATCAACCACCTTTCCTTCTGTGATTTTTATTGGGAGTTGCCCGAAACACTTTACATCTCAAGGTTTACAGGAAGACAGAACACCATGTCCACACCAGCACCTGCAGTTTATCTAAACTGGCCAATAAATTAAAACTAACCATCGTTGGACAGTTCAGAGAAACTGGAACACACCAGCTCCAAAAGCAACAAAAATAATGGAAATTAACTTTAAAATGCTGAAATACTACATTTTTAAAAAGCAAGGTCTTCAAAGTTAGAGCTGCGTTCATTTAGACGTCATTCTGCTTTTGTCTGACTGATTTTATATCAAGTACAAGAAAAATGCCTGCAGAAGTAAATAAACAAAATAACACATCTGCTGTTTATTGAAAATAAACATTTTGTGAGATATGTCTTGATAAGATTCGATGCTTCAACAACTCTTTGTGTTTTTGCTCTTTCTGTTGACAGGTTGTGTAAACCTCAGGTATCTGATGTAATACTTGATCCAATGTGTGGAACAGGAGCTATACCACTAGAGGTGGGTGGTTCAGCTGAACTTCAGCTCTTCTTCCTACTTTTGTTTTCAAGTGGACGTTGTCCCTCAACATGAGCATCTGTTGTTAAAGCGCACACATTTTCAGTGAAACACAATAAAACCTGCACAGTTCCTTCTTGTTCCGTTAATAACTTGTAGTGCGTAAACTTTGTGCATGCGACCTGTGCACACAGACGGACGACCTGTCTCGTTTTACAGCCAGTGCCCACATCTTGTAAAGCCTACAGGTCATGATTCTTGCACTACTAGATCTGCCAAAACATTCTGAGCACCAACAAAATATTCCATTAAGAAGGCCTCCAACATCTTGCTGCCAACATCTGTAATCAGGAGTTTGACATATGCTCGACTGAAATGAGCTTTTCTAAGTCGATCTTTAGAAATCAGAAGAAGAAAAAGAGCAATAAGAGAAAATAGAAGAACTTTCTCACTTAAATAAACAACTGCGGGCTGCTGTAAACTATTTGTAGTAGCTGATGCTGTATTTTAATTTTCTTATTTTGTAATTGAGCAAGTGTGCACAGCCATTGAACACCTTCTCATAGTATGAGAAGGGCAACTGAGTTTGTTGCAGCTTCTCAGACTGAAGAAGTCTTTTGGATAAAAGATGAAACGTTTCAACAAAGAAGAATCTGTCCAGAGGACCTGACTCAACCTTGTTAGATTAATCTACCTGGATTATTATTTTTTTTTTATTATTTTTATTATTGAGCGAACAACATGTTTTGTTGCTGGATAAGAGCTTCCAACAGATCATAGGTGAAATTTAAAATTCTGCACAAGGTTCACATCTTTGCCGTTTAATGAATTTTGGGTGAATATTAACAAGTATGTCAAAGTTCATGCTCAATAATCCAGATAATAAATCCAACAAAGTTAAGTCAGATTATCTGGACTTTTTTTTTTTTTTTTTTGTTGAGATGTTTCGTCCTTCATCCAAAGGACTTCATCAGTCTGAGGAGCCACCACATACTCAGTCCCACAAGCAGCACACCCACATAGTTTCAGGTTTGGTTTTTTCGTCATATGCAAAATCAATACAAGCTCAACAATGAAATGAAATTCTTAGGACGAGAAGAACCGTCTCGACTCGCCAAAAAAACAAGAAGTAATACCAAATCATGCAGCAAAAATACTAAACCATACTAAAATACTACTAAGATACTAAAACAAAGCGCCAAAAGTTGAAAAAGAAATACATCTACAGTGAGGTTCTTTCAGCAGCATGGTTCTGTTCTGGAGGCAGCACGGTGGCGCAACTGGTAGAGCTGCTGCCTCTCAGCGAGAAGGTCCTTGGTTCAAACCCCGGTCCAGGGGCCTTTCTGGGTGGAGTTTGCATGTTCTATCCGTGCATGCGTGGGTTTTCTCCGGGTGCTCCGGTTTCCTCCCACAGACCAAAAACATGCATGTTAGGCTGATTGGTAACTCTAAATTGTCCCTAGGTGTGAGTGAGAGAGTGAATGGTTGTTTGTCTCATTTGTCTCTATGTGTCCCTGTGATGGACTTGCGACCCGTCCAGGGTGTACCCCGCCCCTCGCACAGTGATTGCTGGACATGGGCACCAGCGACCCACGTGACCCAAAATGGAATAAACGGGTAAAGATAATGGATGGATGGATGGTTCTGTTCTGTTAGCGACGTGGTCTTGTTAGCAACGTGGTCTTGTTAGCAATGTTAGCAGGTCCAGTCAGCAGCTTGATGGTAATAATGACCGCAGTAGCTGCCCTCACAGACCGCAGTCCAGAACCGGGTCCAGCAGACAGAGAACATCCAAGGCTTCCCCTTGGAACCGAAAGGGCCCATAGAGTTCGGTCCGTGCAGGCAGATGGAGGATCTTGTTAGCAGCGTTAGCAAGTCCCGCTAGTAGCTTGATGATAACGACTGCAGCAGCTGCTCCATAGTGGACCAACCAGTTTGCTGATGGTTTCTGGGGTCCACCCTCTCCCCTGTCGACTCCTCTGAGGCAACCATAGCCAAAGTGGTTCAAAACATCAAAGTTCATGCTCAATAATCCAGGTAGAAAATCCAACATAGTTAAGTCATCTGGATGTTTTTTTTTTTTGGAGACGTTTCATCCTTCATCCAAAGGAGAAGGATGAAATGTCTACTCCTCAGAGGAATTGCCGATGGAGAGGGCGTGCCCCAGAAACCATCTTATCACCATCAAATTGGTTGGCCCACTATGTGAGTGTGCTGCTTGTGGGACTGAGTTTGTTGCGGCTCCTCGGACTGATGAAGTCCTTTGGATGAAGGACCAAACGTGTCACCAAAACAAAAATCAACCGTCCAGATGACCTGACTTAACTTTGTTGGATTAAAAAGTATGACTTTGTGTGTTAATTTTAATTTGTGTGACTAATCATAGTGAAATGTTACTCTTCCACAGGGTGCTATTGAGTTCAGCAGCTCCTTCTACATCGCTGGGGACAACAATGACATGGCAGTGAACCGAACGGTTAATAACGTCTATCACATCCAGAGGAGGAGAGCAGACAAGGGCAGGTGAGTGACAGGTGACTAAAACCGTATGGGCTTACAGCAGCTCATATAGTTTGTTGATCTATAATGTTTTCTCTTATTAAATTGAAAGTCAGTAAGATATTTCTGAGATTACAGTCTGCATGTAAAGAATTTAAAACAACTAATCATTCATTACAGAAATAATGCTTTATTGCTCAATCCTTCTGGATGTTTTTTGTTTTTATTACTGACAGCAGGTTTAATCCTGATGCAGTGTTGAACCTGTTTTTCCTTTTAGATTTTGTTTTCTGGCAGGATTTTTTTTTGCTTTAAGGGGTGTGCTGCTCGTTTTATGTTTTTGTTTTTACCAGCTATTTTGCATAATTCAACACTTTTGGTCCATTTTTGATTTTGTTCCTTTTTTTATGTCTGTTGGGAGTTTGTGTGAATGTACAGTAATTTATTAGAAATTTTCCTTGTTCTATTTATTAAGTGTCGATGGTCCATCAGCAACTATTTTGGAATATAAACAGCATTTATGACACATCTGTTAAAATAATTTTTCATCATGCATCCATTCACATATAACACTCCCTCTGTTTAACCAGTGAGTTCCAGCATTTCTTTCTTTCCTTTAGAAATTGATCAGACTTTGAGACCTTCAGTAAAAAGCAACCTGCAGTTCTTGGCAGTGTTTCACATGATGCAGTGCAATCCTGTAGATTTTTAAGGTTTTATTCTTCTTCTTGGGAATTTAGAAATGATTATCAGTTCTTATGTTTTCTCCTGTGTTTCCTCATCATAGAAGTAATTGAATTTGTTGTTTTGATTTTTGAGTTTCTTAGTCCCTTCACTTTTTTACGTGGGGAGTTACTCTCAGCATATATTAATGTTATTGATACTCTGATTTGGAACAGCACACCTGGATTACCTATTGATACGGTGCAGTGGGACATTTGCAACTTACCCATTAAGACCAGCTCTGTGGACATCATCATCACTGACATGCCCTTTGGGAAAAGGTACGCTCTTGAAACTTTTTATAGTGCGTAGAAGAGGACTTGAGTCTTTATAATAAGACAACATGCTGGCTGTAATGTAGCTGCAGTCCTGGTTAAACTGTTTGATGGGTGGAAAAAAAAAAGTTTTGTGATTTGACGTTAAATATGGACTCAATTAAATAAGAATGGATGTTGTATTAATACATTTAATCATGATAAGAGTATTTGTCACTTTATGCAAGATTTCCTGAAATTACTTCTGTTGCTAATTGATGCAACAAATTAATTTTAGTTGAACTGTTAGACATGTAAGTAAACGCAGCACAAAACAATAACTATGTGGGGTTTTTTTTTTGTCTGTTTATTGAAAGAATGGGTTCCAGGAAGAAGAACTGGGACCTGTACCCTTCCTGTCTTAGAGAGATGGCTCGTGTTTGCAGACCAGACACAGGAAAGGCTGTCCTCCTGACTCAGGACAAGAAATGCTTTGCTAAGGTAAATCAAGTTCAGGACGAGAGTTTTTCTTATTAGAAATCGGTTCTTCTGTGGTTCAAAACTCCTTTTAAGAACCATAAAGTAAATCGCAATGCAAGTTCTGACCTGCAAAGACTTCCTGATAACAAGGCATGCTGACCAGAGATGCACAGATCCACTTTTTTCACTTCCGATACCGATATATTTGTTTTCGTATCGGCCGATACCGAGTTCAGGTAGCGCCGTCTCCGTCAAATATTTTGGGCTTACCTTGTCGTAGTGTGGCTCCAGGTGGTTAATTAGCAGCCGGAATCCCTTATTTCCATCAATTGAGAGCGGCTGCCCATCCATGACAATGAAATTCAGTATCCTTTCAGTGATTTTTGCTGCCTGCACACTTATTAGGTGGAGACTTTTCACCTCTTCCCTTCATCTCCTTCAAAGTTAGCTGCTTCATGCCGCCTCCTTTCTGTTGATTCCATTCAACAAACTCAGCATGCTCTTTAGGGTGACATCTGTGTAGATGCTTGATTAAGTTGGTAATGTTATAGCTGGAAGTTTTAGTGCCACCCCTTGGAACAGTCGCTGTGCACGTATTGCACGTAGCTGTCGAATGTGTCGGCTGAGGTAGTGTGAAATAGTTCCAGATGGCTGATCCTTTCGCTCGCTCCATTTTGAAACGGTGAGTTTGCTAGCGCATGACGTCGCTCTGAGCACAAAGCATAGAATTAGACGGAATAGATTTGCCCTTATAGATTGGTCACATTTTCACCGATACCCGATCAATAATTTTTTTTTTCAATATTGGGACTGATAACCCATTTTAATATTGGATCGGTGCACCTCTAATGCTAACGCTTTGATGAAAATGTTTCCCTTAGCAGTAAATACAAACACACACCAATACACTAAACAGTGTTAAACCCTGATGGCAAATTTCAACGCATGCTGAGCTAAATAGTGCACGAACCTTGTCTTGTTCAGTGATCTCCATCTTACAATACAATACAATACAACTTTATTTATAAAGCACTTTAAAACAACACCATTGGCCAAAGTGCTGTACACTAACACATACAAGCATAAAAACTATGAACTCAACAAATACCAAAAAAGTAATGAACTACCAAATCATAAAACAGCAAACAGTAAAAACAAATAACATAAAACAGTAAAGCCAACATTCCAGCTGCGTTAAAAGCCAAAGAGAAAAAATAAGTCTTCAGAGCAGATTTAAAAACAGGAAGTGAGTCGGCTTGTCTGACGTGCAAAGGCAGCTCATTCCACAGTTTAGAGGCAGCGACTGAGAGCGCTCGGTCACCTCTCAGCCTCCTGTTGGACTTTGGGACGGCCAACAGCAGCTGATCTGCTGACCTCAGAGAGCGTGAGGGAATGTACGGCTGGAGACAATCGGACAGATACTGTGGGACGAGACCATGAAGACGTTTGAATACAAACAAAAGAATCTGAAAATTAATCCGGAAACGAACTGGGAGCCAGTGTAGTGATTTTAAGACGGGGGTGATGTGCTCTCGTTTTCTGGTGCCAGTTAAAAGACGAGCAGCAGCGTTCTGAACCAGCTGAAGTCGAGTCAGTAATGACTGGCTCAGACCCACATAAAGTGAATTGCAATAGTCCAGACGAGTTGTAATGAAATTCTTAAAGAATTCAGTCGCTCAGGTTTGGAAGCTTGCTGTCATTTTGGACATCATTTGGACAAACACGTCGCAGTCAGCCAGCAAAAAAAGAAGCAATACGAAAAAGAAAGTGGGGCAGTCTCTGAATAACTAATGACCCCAGTGCTGATTTACATCTTTACATCATGACATTGTTTTAAATTGTTATTATTACAACTATTGCCAATTACTTTTATATTGTATGTTTTTATATATTTCCAAGTCCTATTCTGTATCTTGTTACTTGTCTTGTTTTTTTATGTCGTGCACTGCTGCCTTTTCTTGGCCAGGTCACCCTTGTGAAAGAGCTCTTGATCTCAATGTTTTTTTTTTTTTAAATCTGTTTAAATAAAGTTTTAATAAACATCTACAGTGATCCCTCACTTATCGCGGAGGTTACGTTCCAGAGACCCCCGCGATAGGTGAACATCTGTGAAGTAGTGGTTTTATATTTATTTTATTATTTATATTAAGGCTTTATAAACCCTTCCCACACTCCTACAAACCTTTCCCACTCTCTTCTTAACCTTTCTCTGTCATGAATTTAGCGGAGGATCTGAAATTTCAACCAGACACAGAGCGCTCTCAGTAAGCATTATTTTGAAAAGCCTGCTGTGAGTCGGCACACGTCTGTGGAAACGCACTGGAACGTTTCACAAGGCGAAACAGGAAAGTCCAGGGCACAGAAACTTGGTCAGGATGAGGGCATCGGTCAGGAGCATGAGATCATTTGCTCATCATTGGACATTTACTTGCACAAGTGAAGCCACAATAAGTTCAATTCAGTTCAGTTTATTTATAAAGCACCAAATCACCACAGAAGTCATCTCAGGGCACTGAACAGAAACATAAGTGAACAGTGATATAGAGAGGGACACTTTTTATTATTCCTTTAATACTTTTTTTTACTCCCCATTTAACTTGTAGATGGAGGTGTCAAGATTAAAGTGAATACAACCTGTAATCAGTGGTATATTAACCAACTGACTGTGGTTTCTTTTGCAGTTAGTAAAATAATCTGAAACGCACTCTCTTTATGATGCTAAATAGACTCTCGGGCTTCCATTATCATCTGTCGACAGAATCACATTTTTTGATTCTGCAGCCACGTCAGTAAATACAAACCAATGTATGTTCACTATTGAGATTAACATGTAAATGGGCATAGATTAGTGTGTTGCATTGCTGATGTTCACAGCACACGTTATTTTAACTCGTTCTATTTTCTGTGCACTTTATTTAGAAAAGCCTCCAAAGTTATTTACGTTCTAAAGAAACATTTCCAACTGATCGTCTCCGGTTGTGAAAGTTGTGTGAACTGCAGCTTGTTGAACTTAAAATACAAGAAGACAATTTTATGAGATTAAATACTATAAAACACATACATTTTTTTTTCTTGTAATGATAAAAGTGGTTGCAGTCTGAGGCTTTACTTCAGAGTCCAGTCAGAGATTGTTGTTATTATCTCTGGATGTATGTGTTCTGAGTGTACAGTTGGCTTATCATCAGCCCTGCTGGGTTCAGACTGAACAGATAATTAGCTATGGGGTTATGTGAGGGAGAATAAAAGAATGTCTGTGAGATTTATCATCTGACTCACCAAACAATTGTCAAATCCACTCTGTTTAACAAATCACACTAATTCAAATCGCTCCTCGCAAACTGATCTGTAGAATCCAAGGAAACCATGCTTTCTCCATGCGTTCATGTTAAAGTCACTGGAGTTGTGTAAAGCACAGAGGCACTGTTCTGTTGCGTTCATACATCTTTAAATGAACAGTCCCCTTTATTCAAAGATCTTTTAAATCTGTCTGAATAGGTATCAGAGTTCATGCTCAATAATCCAGGTTAAAAAAATCCAACACAGTTACGTCAGGTCCTCTGGATGGTTTCTATTTGTTGACCACGACAAACTCAGTCTTATAAATAACACCTTACATAGTGGGTCAACCAGTTTGCTGGTGATAAGATGGTTCCTGGAGTCCACCCTCTCCCCCGTCAACTCCTCTGAGGCAGTCATGGCCAAAGTGGTTCGAAATATCAAAGTTCATGCTCAATAATCCAGGTAGAAAACCTGGATTATAGAAAGACTTTCACCACAGAACTAGCAGAGGAATCCAGGTAGAAAACTATTGATATGTTGAACCACTTTGGCCATGGCTGCCTCAAAAGAGTCAGCAGGGGAGAGGGCGGACTCCAGAAACCATCTTATCACCATCTAACTGGTTGACCAACTACGTAAGATGCAATTTATAAGACTGAGTTTGTTTGACTCCTCGGACGGTTGAAGTCTCTTGGATGAAAGACGAAACATTTCAACAAAAAGAAACTGTCCAGAGGAGCTGACTGAACTTTGTTGTACTGTCTGAATTGGGTTGATTCCCTCTGGAGAATAATCACGTTCATCATAAAGTGAACCGTTAATGTCAACAGTCCATACTGAATGTGTTCCAACCAGTTAGTTGGCTGTAAGTGTTACAGGAAATGATGCAAACACAATACCTCACTGTGAAATTAATGGAGAAAAGGGCTCTCCTTAAAAAAAAAACGTTCAAACTGGAAAAACCTCTTGGTGACCTTTGGCATCGCTTGTCAGCCACAAACAATGGAGCCTTGACAGCATTCTTCAGGCGGTTCCACAACCAACCTCTCTAGGACCTTTCATCATTTCACCTGATGGCTGGGTTAGTTAAATATGTTGTGCTTCTGGGTTAGACTAAACCCACATTAGTCCTGTTAAACTGATCAGTGTTCAGTTGCAGAAAGGAAAGAGCTTCAAGTACTGGTTGCAGTATATCATCAGCAACACGATGCATTTAGAGTCAGAGAGATTTATTTGTCATTCACATCTCATGTGGTACATGTGGTGGAACGAGATTGTGAAATCGACTCGCTGAAGTTACAACTGAGCACCAGGCAGAGGAAGAAACCAGTGATTTTGAAGGTGGTGTGATTGTTGCCAGACAGGCTGGCCTACTGGGATTTTTACATACAACCATCTTTAGCATTTACAGACTGTGGTTCAAAAAGATAAAATATCCCTTGAGCGACAGATATTTGGATGTAAATTCTTTGTTTATGGCAGAGGAGATAGATGGTCCAAAATGTAAAAAACAAACAACAGTGTCTGAAATGATCACTGCAGATTGTCACTGAACATACAACACAATAGCTATGTTTAACATGGACATAAATAATCGGATTAAACAGCCATTCGGAATAAAAATGTGTCATGTAAACACCCTATTGGGATTATTCTTTGTTGATTCAGCTCGATTCGAATGAATTTGTAATCTGACTAGATATGTTTACATACGAAAAATTCCTTGACTGGATTGAAATGTTTTCAGATTAAATAATTAGAATGTATTGTTTACATGGGCACAATCCGATCATGATGAGCGTTTACATGCATCGTGCTTTGTTCTGAACACAAGTACTGACATGCGCAGAATGGTAAACTCTCCTTAAAAAAAACACAGAAAAAGTTCTGCTTCCGGTTTACTTCCGGGCTGAACGTAAACAAACCCGAGCGCCCAAAATGGACCCGCAACAGGTTTTAATGGCGGTGGAGACGTTACTGCTCTCCCTGACTGAGCTACAGGTAATACATATCATTCTGAGCTCTTTCAAAGTTTCTAGTAGAAATGTTGTCGCTCACCGACCAGTTTTGCTTCTGCTACATGCTAATATTATTAGCATTAGCCTGGTGGAAATACGAGAGGTAGACAGGTCGCACATGCACAGTCAGGTCAGTTTTTCACGATCTGAAAAAAACAAACAGATTAAATGTTTACATGCACACCGTTTGGATTATGAATCAGCATAAACCATCCGTCTCGTTCTGATTACAAATTATTTTGGATTGAGCTGAATAAACAAAAAATAATCGGAATGGGGCGGTTAACGCATTTTTATTCCGAATGGCCTTTAGTCCGATTACTTACGTCCATGTAAACATAGCTAACGAGAGGGGTGGTTTATGCCAATTCATAATCCGAACGATGTGCATGTAGACGCTTAATAAGATCATTTTATTTTGATGGTGGAAAACTGACCTGACTGCGCATGTGCGACCTGTCAACCTCACATATTTCCACCTGGCTAGATGCTAATATGTCGGGGAAGCAAAACTGGTCAGTGAGCGACACATTTCTACTAGAAACTTTGAAAAAGCTCAAAATGATCTGTATTTCCTGTAGCTCAATCAGGGAGTACAGTAACGTCTCCACCGTCATTAAAACCTGTCGAGGGTCCATTTTGGGCGCTCAGGTTTGTTTACGTTCATCCTGGAAGTAAAACTTCTTCTGTGTTTTTTTAGGGAAGTTTACCACTCTGTGCATTTCAGTACTTCTGTTCTGAATAAAAGCCCACTGCATGTAAACACTCGTCATGATCGGATTGTACCCATGTAAACAATACATTCGGATTGTTTAATCTGAAAACATTTCAATCTGGTCAAAGAATTTTGCACATGTAAACATCGCTACTGAACATTAAAGCAGACGGGCTGCAGAAGACCTCAGTAAGTGCCACTTTTGTCTGTTAAGAATGGAAAACTGAAGTGATCATTCACACACACACCAAAACTGGACAATAAGAGATTAGACACACAGCGCCTGGTTTGATGAGTCTTGGTTTACTGGACTTCAGTGACCTCCACAGCCACCAGAGCTCAATCCAGTCGAGCACCTTTGGAATGTGGTGAAACGGGAGGTTCACTCGTTCACATCATGGATGTGCAGCAACAGCCTGACCCTATCGTGTCAAGATGGACTCTGAGCAATGTTTCCAACATCTTATTATTATTTTATTTATTAACCTTTATTTAACCAGGCAAATCCCATTGAGATCATAGATCTCTTTTGCAAGGGAGGCCTGGGCCTGACATGCATGTTTTTGGTAGAGATGCACTGATCCTTCTGGATCGGGTATCGGTGACAATGTGGCCGATCCATGACTGGGCAGATCTATTCAGTCTAATTCTATGGTTTGTGCTCTGAGTGACGTCACATGCTAGCGAACTCGCCACACAGATTGTTTTCAAAATGGAGCGAGCGAAAGGATCAGCCATCTGGAACTATTTCACAGCCAACACAGTCGACAGCTACGTGCAATACATGCAATACGTGCACAGCGACGGTTCCGAGGGGTGGCACTAAAACTTGCAGCTATAACACTACCAACTTAATGAAGCATCTCCAGAGATTTCACCCTAAAGAGCACGTTGAGTTTGTTGAACAGAATTCAGCACTGTTTGTCGTATCGGATCGGTATCTGAGCGGTATAGGCCGTTGCCAAACCTCAGATATCGGTATCGGAAATGAAAAAAGTGGATCGGTGCATCCCTAGTTTTTGGTCTGTGGGAGGAAACCGGAGTACCCAGAGAAAACCCACGCAAGCACGAGAAGAACATGCAAACTCCACCCAGAAAGACCCCAGGTCCAACCAGGGATTGAACCCAGAACCTACTTGCTGTGAGGTAACAGTGCTAACCACTGAGCCGTCGTGCTGCCATGGACTTTAGTGAATCCATGAAGGCAAAAAGAGGTCCAACCAGGTAATAGCATGCTGGACGTAATAAAGTGGTTGGTGTGTGTATACTGTTATATGTCAGATTAGACGTTCTAGCTTAGTGTGTTTGTGTGAGTAGTTGAATAACAACAAAATGAAAAGTGATTTGGAGAACAACATGGTTAAAAGGTGCTGCATTAGTGTGAACTGGTTACTATTTAGCCATATGAGCTAGTAAAATAAATTGATATAAAATAATTATTGATTAAAAATGATGTGGCATTTTTTTCAGGTAAAAAGGGTTGAAAATGTAAACTTTGGTAGACGCTGCGGTTCTGTTTTAATTACAATCGAAACTGTAATAATACAGTTTGAGCAAGATGTTTGAAATGTGCGCTGACATCAAGAAGTTTCCAGATGTTCCTCCTGCCGCAATTATTTAAGAACAAACAGTCGTGGTGGGTTTTTTTTATTTATTTTTTTTGAGACTTTGGTTGTTTTATAAGAAAATTAATACTATTTTTACAAAGTGACGTGGTTTAAAATCTACAGCAGATAAAATATTTGTTCATAACTTATCCATAAACTCCTCTTCAAATGTTTTTTTTTCTTATTTATTGTGTTCAAATATAAGTGTGCAGTCGTTGTAATTTTGTTGACCTAAGACTATTTTATATTTATGCAGCTCTTCTTTATATCTAAACAATCTAATGGGTATAAAATGCAGTGAAGGCTACTGGGAATTTCTAAATGGTTCCAAGTTATTCAGATTAAACTCTGCTCCAGTTTCAGGAAATCATTTTTTTTTTACTACTTGTATTTGTCTAAACAAAGATCCAGTTCCATATAAAACTTGACTCATTTGTTTGACTGGCTTCATGAGATTTATTTCTCCTTCAGGCTGTTTCGCGGATGGGAGGGCTGTGGAGGAAGGTGCACACTGTTTGGGTGAACGTGGGTGGTCTACATGCAGGGGTCTACCTCCTCAAGCGGACCTCGGGCTTGTTCGGCCAAGCTCCTGAGGACGTCCATGAACCTAGAGGGATGGGTGTCGCTCAGATGGATGAGAAAAACAATCAGGAACTCTCATAGCTTTCATCACGATGTTGAGGAGGAGTCACTTTATTGACATGAACCACAGCGGTTATGTCTTTCCTCCTGACTGCAGCCCTCTGGTCCAAAAAGTCGTTTTGTTGTGTAATTTTGGAAATAAGCCGTCGTTTGGCAGCAGTTCAACGATTCTGACACTTGAGAATTTTTTTTATTTATCCTATTGAGTGTTTGCAGTTGCTTCATAAAACTGTTCATCTTAGTTGTGTTTATTGTACAGAAGCTGCAGATGATCATTTTATTAATAAAGATTCATTCACTCGTTTTTTTTCTCAGTAGTCTTACATGACAGTGAAGATTGATTCTGATCTTATTCCGCTCAAATATGTATAAACCTTTTGACTCTAAATCTTTTTTTTTTTTTTTTAAACATACAAAAAAAAAAAGTAAAACAAACCCCCTACTTCCACCCCTTCCCTCCCACACCGGATCAGTCTCACACAAACAAATTAATCATTGACATATTTTCTGTGTACAACATAAGAGGCTGCCAGTTGTCCCAACATCTTTTAACAGAACCCTTCAGGGTATATCTGAAATCAATATGATACATCACTTCTCTTATTCAATGGTGGTGGTGGTGGTGGTGGTGATGGGGGGAGTGTCATTCCAGTTGCACAAAATGAGTCTTTTGGCCAAAAGAGCACCAAAGCCAATCGCATCCTTCTCGTACTTGCTGAAGGACGTGTCCACAGGGACCACCCTGAACAGTGAGATGAACGGTGATGGGTGTACAGTTTTGCCTCATATCCCAGAGAAAGTGTCAAAGATAGATTGCCAAAATGTCTGCAGTTTGGGACAAGTCCAGAATGTATGCAGGAGTATAGCTGGAGTTTGTTTACAATGATTACATGTATATTTGTAACACTTACAGAACCCATCAGGTACCAGAGGTCTAAATAAAAAAAACAAAGAAAAACTGTTTGTAAAAATGTTCTGTACTCCCTTGGTTTATAAAACTGATATAGATATATGTTGGGTTTAATGGTTTCTGTCTGGATGGGGAATCAAAAACCGTGCTCATTTTCCAGCTCTAACACAACATTGGTGGTATTGTTGGCAGTGTCTCATGTTTTTACCTAAATCAACTTGGGGCTTTAATGTCCTGGTGAAGATTCTCAAGTCATACAGGACATGGTAAATTCAAAAAAAAAGTTCAGGACAAAAGCAACTGGACTTTATTTGGAACAGAAGACGTTTCGCTTCTCATCCGAGGAGCTTTCTCAATTCAAAGAGCAGAGAGTGTGGGCTTCATGTTATAAAGCTGAGATAAGATACACACATGCATATGCAGATTGACCTTTCACAGCTTACAGTTGGGGGTTGTTAAGGTCTTTGTTAATCTAGCTTTGTAACGTCCTTCCAACAAGCTAAAAACATGCAATTTTTGAAGTTACTTGAGACATTTTATTATGCTACATTATCGATAGTTTCTGAGCGCTCATTCAGTTTAGAGTGGCTTGTTTTGATTATGCAGTAATAAACTAATGTTCTGCAGACGTTAGCAATAGCCAAAACACAGGTTGCAATGTATTATTGTCCATTTCCACCAATGTAGTGTAAAACTTAAGTAAACCATTGACAGTACAACATGACCAGTTTGTAGAGCTCTATACAGCATATGAAAAATGAAATAAAATTTCCAACCTCACTACGAAATGGCAGACTTAACGATATAATGTTCTATATATTAAAAAACAAAATTGGAACTCAACCTAGCTTTATCTGTATGCCTACACTTGAAAATAAACATTTATTTATTGTTTACTTACTGATTCAATTTCATCACACTGCACAAACTAGGACTTCTGTTTTGGTGTAAGCTTGGCACTTGTGGAGCTCCATACATTTCAGTAAAGGCGATAAAGCAGATATACCGGTTTTATTTCCTGATTCATAGTGGGTGTGTTAGCCTGAACACAATATTTCCAAACTTTTGGTGGTAATTTTAAGCCTCAAAGGCAGTTTTTTTGTTTGTTTTTTTAGTTACTACGTGAGCTGCTGCAGGAAGATTTAAATTCCATGGTCTCTCAAGGAAAAGATTTATTCACCACTCCTTGTCTCAGCTTGTTACAGGAAATACATTGTCGGTAAATGATAAAAAAAAAAACTCTTTGGTTACAGATAGTAACTCTTAGTTTATTCAGGTCAAAGTAGTAGCTTCTTTGAGGTAATTCACTCCCAGCTATTGATTTAAAATGAACAAATGTTAGGTTTTTTTTCTGACCCGGTATGGAGGCAGAGTAATGCCATTAAAAGGGGCTGCTGATTAAAAAAAAAAAAAAAACATGCAGTTTGGAGTTATTTTAAAGTTTGTGTCTGTCATGCTTTACTCATTAGATAAAATAACATAAGAGGGCGTTTTATGAGCAAGAGGGTGATGGCATGGCTAAAGCGGCAACATTGCGCAATGGAGACTCCTTAAAGAGTCAGAGCTGAGGTGGGAGGCCATAAGACTGTGGAGAGCAACCGGAACAACATGATCTGGATCATTCCTCTGCTGCTCGTCCTGCTTTATCTGAGCCTCACACGTCAGTGGAGGTGAGTCATGTCAGTTCTTTCTGAATCATTTTAGGTGAAACAAAAAGGAGCGTTTATTGTGCTGGTGTAGACGAGCTCGCTGTGACACCAACTCAGTATTAATATGTTTATATTTTTAGGCTATTCACTGTTTTAAACAGCATTTATTGTATTCAAAGTCAGAGTTACCATATTGTTAGCAGCAGAACCAGAAGAATAAAGAAACATTGAGATTGATCACAAAGTCATAATTTGCTGCACTTTTGTCATTTTCTTTTTAATTTATCAACCCACCGAGTTCAAGTGTTGTTCATTCTGTTTGGTTCAGACCATAAAAATGATCCGATGTAAATTCAGAACTAAAATGAGGATTCTTATTTCTCATCAGTCTGGCAATGAGGTCTTGTTTGTGAATAATGTCCTAAAAGCTCAGATGTCACCCAGCAGCAATGCTTCTAGTTAAACTAGCTCTTTTTTTTTTTCTTTTCACGGCTTGTTTGTTCAATTACATGTTTTTTTTTCTCAGTTATTTTGTCAAGGATTAGTTTTTTTTTAGCTGTTTCATTCTTTTTATTATTTAAATAAGCTGCTCTCACGTTAAAACACAACAACTTTCCCTGTGTTGATTTGCAATCAGACACTTTACGTTGTAAAAATATTCTGAAATGTGATTTTACCTGGAAATAGTTTGAGCCTTTACGTTCACCACAGCTAACCCCTTTAACAGTTTGATAATATCTGCTCAGGAATGCAGTTATTTTACTGACGTTCTTTGATTTTAATCTTGTGTAAATCTAAAAACAGAAACCTATGTTGTTTTTCTTTTCTTTTTTTTTAAAGAGGTAGTAATAAACCCAGATCATTTTGTGCAGGAAGACTGAACAAAGTTTGACAGGAGATCTAAAGTTTGCATTGAGCTTTATTTAATGAAGCAGCGTCTGTACAAATGATTTATTAAAACACTGACTCACTCCCTCGGTGTGCTTATTCTTTCCTTTTCTTTTAGATGCAAGAATGAACCACCTCTCGATGTAGGAATAATCCCATGGTTGGGTCATGCACTTGAATTTGGAAGAGATGCCTCCAAATTCATAATCCGAATGCAGGAGAAACACGGCAACATTTTTACCGTAAGAAGCAGAAACTCACATACGCAGTGTTTTAAATGTGATTTTTTTTTTTTGCAATGACTTTTTGTAGTCATCAAATTTATGTATAAAGCACATTTACAAACAGCAGTTGTTACCAAAGTGCTTAACAATAAAACTGTATTTAAACGAAACTGTTGCTTAAAAGCTCAGTCTAAGTCTTTAAAGTAAAAAAGTATCTAAAAATATGTAGTTTTATTTATTTTTTCTAATGAATGTATGATAAGCCGTACAGAGTAACTAAAGCAGTATCGAATAAATCTTAAAGACGAAATTGTTGATCTTGTTTTAAAGCGCAGACTTAAAATTTTATTGTCTCTCATTTGTGATGCGCTTTAATTTCGTGCATAACTATTTTTACTGTAGTTAATGACAAAAAGTCCTCGAAGTGGTGCCATCTGGGGATTCTCTCATTCTACCAATGCCTACGTGGGCAATGATGGAGTTATAGAGAAGGGGGTGATTGAAAGGAGCAGCCTCCCTGATCTGAACCTGAATCAGTGGTGTGGTGGCAGGCCTTAATTTGTAAACCAATTGATGCCGGAACGCAAATAGTGGGTGGGCCGGTGGCGGGTGAGTGGGGGTTGGGGTCTGGGGGTCCTCCCCCAGAAAATTTTGAATAAAGTACTGTACATGCAATTTTCTGGATTTTGGTGTATTTTAATGGGTTGTTAAATAGCTACGTTTACCTACATTTGAAAACACTCTGCTTCTGTCAAGCGTCCCACCCACCTCCCTCTTACTTGACGATTCCGAGCTTACCCTTCTCCTCTGAATTCACTGTCCTGCTCGTTGTTGTCCTACTCCAGATGTGAAACCTCCAGGCGCCTCTTCCGTCTGTTCATAGCGGCTGGCTGTGGGCTCCTGCCCGACTGAATGGTTAGCTTGGCACTCACCCCCACACCACTTACTCGCTGCCCCTCCAATCTCCATTGCCACTGCCTTAAGGTGCTTCAATTCTCAGTTGTCAAACCAAGAACAATGATGAGCCTTTTTTTAATGAAAATAAACTGGACTGTCTTTTCGACATTTTGATTGCTGTTATTTTTGACAAATTAGCACCGTTGTTTTGATACTTGATATAATGTGAATAATACATCCATCCATCCATCCATTATCTTTACCCGCTTATTCCATTTTGGGTCACGGGGGTCGCTGGTGCCCATGTCCAGCAATCACTGTGCGAGGGGCGGGGGACACCCTGGACGGGTCGCAAGTCCATCACAGGGCCACATAGAGACAAACGAGACAAACGACCATTCACTCTCTCACTCACACCTAGGGACAATTTAGAGTTACCAATCAGTCTAACATGCATGTTTTTGGACTGTGGGAGGAAACCGGAGCACCCGGAGAAAACCCACGCATGCACGGAGAGAACATGCAAACTCCACCCAGAAAGGCCCCGGACCGGGGTTTGAACCAGGGACCTGCTCGCTGAGAGGCAGCAGCTCTACCAGTTGCGCCACCGTGTTGCGTGAATAATACATATCAAACATTTCTCCCATTGTGTTTTTAAGAATTTTTTTTTATTACTAATGATGACGAGAGGAGGAAGGAATACTTCTCGGACCTTCTCAAACCCACCAACATGTCTTCCATGGAGGAAGCGGAGTTGGAGGACTTCGGGGGTTGGTCTGCCCATAATCGTGGCTGAGGTCGCCGAGGTAGTTAAAAAGCTACGCAGCAGCAAGGCTTCGGTGGTGGATGAGATTCGCCCTGATTTGCTTAAGGCTCTGGATGTTGTGGAGCTGTCTTGGTTGACACGTCTTTGCAATATTGCATGGACATTGGGGGCAATGCCACTGGACAGGCAGACTGGGTTGTTGGTTCCCCTTTTCAAAAAGGGGATGTGCTCCAATTACAGGGACATTAACTCTCCTTAGCCTCCCTAGTAAGGTCTATTCAGTGGTACTGGAGAAACGAGTCCAATCGTTGGTCGAACCTCAGATCCAGGAGGGACAATGCGGGTTTTGTCCTGGCTGTGGAACACTGGACCAGCTGTTTACCCTCAGTAGAGTCCTTGAGAGGTCATGGGAGTTGCCCATCCAGTCGACATATGTTTTGTGGATTTGAAGAAGGCATTTGACCGTGTTCCTCGGGGTACACTGTGGGGGGTGCTCTGTAAGTATAGGATTGGGGTTCATTGTTACGGACTGTTTGGTCAACATACAAGCGGTGCAAGAGTTCGGTTCGCATTGCCAGCAGTAAGTCAGACCCCTTCTGGGTGAAGTTGGACTCAGCCATGGCTGCTCATCGTCACCAATTCTGTTCATAACTTTTATGGACAGAATTTCTCAGTGCAGCCAGGGTGCAGAGGGATTCCAGATCTGTGGCCTCAGGATTCATCGTGTCGTGATCTTCAGCTCTTACTGGAGCAGTTTGCAGCTAAGTGTGAAGCGACTGGGATGAGAATCGGCACCTCCTAATCTGAGGCCATGGTCCTCAACCGGAAAAGGGTGGATTACTCTCTTCAGGTCGAGGGTGAGGTTCTGCCTCAAGTGGAGGAGTTCAACTATCTTGGGGTTTTGTTCACGAATGAGGGAAGAATGAAGCATGAGATTGACTGACGGATTGGTGCAACATCTGCAATATTGCAGACTCTGTACTGGTCTGTTGTGGTGAAGAGAGAGCTCAACTGTAAGTCAAAGCTCTGTTTACTGGTCAGTCTACGTTCCTATCCTCACCTATGGTCACGAGCTCTGGGTAGTGACTGAAAGAATAAGATTGTGGATACAGGTGGTTGAAATGAGTTTCTTCCGCAGGACAGTTGGACTCTCCCTTAGAGATGGGGTGAGAAGTTCAGTTAGCCTGGAGAGACTTGAAGTAGAACCGCTGCTCCTCCACATTGAAAGGAACCAGTTGAGATGGTTCAGGCATCTGGTAAGGATGCTCCCTGGGTGCCTCCCTTGGGAGGTGCTTCAGGCATGTCCGACTGGAAGGAGACCATGGGGAAGACCCAGGACACACTGGAGAGACTATGTCTCTCGGTTGGCCTTGGAATGCTTTGGAATCCTCCCAGAAGAGCTGGAAGAGGCTGTGGAAAGAGATGTCTGGGCCTCTCTGCTTAAGCTGCTGTCCACACAACTTGACTTCGGAACAAGCAGAAGATAATGGATGGATGGATTAATGGCCCATTTAAACTATCGAACTGATTTGCAATTTAGTTGTGCTGTTTAATTATATTTTTGAATTTTTTTTTATAAAATTGCGCTGTGACTGGACTTTTAGGGATGGAGATTTTTTTAAGGGTAGAAGCAGAAATACTCATTTGAAGGGGCTGATCTTATGTGATATTAAGAAGCTTGTAAGTGGCTGTTGTGTTTAAAATGAGTGTTTATGTAATTATTTTCGGTTTACATATTCATTATAAGTTTTATTCATTCAAGGCAGGCATATTTGTTCATAAATTTATTATTAGTAAGCCTGAGATTTACCAGATCCAAGCAAACAGTTACCAGAACACACCCTGTAAAAATAAGAGAGTTCCCAGATCCTGTTCTGACAGGATCCAGTTCAAATTAAGCCCTGAGTGGTGGACTGGACATCAGGAGCACCGGGACATTTCCCGGTGGCCTGGCCCACTCAGTGATCTCCAAGGGTCTGGACTAAAGGCTCTGTTCAGGTCGTACTTGATTATTTTAAATAAACAATCCATTTTGCTCCTGTGGCTCACTCTGGTATCCACCTCACTGAAGCTCTCACAGAATGAGTAGCAATGGGGAAAGACAGATCCACCCACCCCCTCCTTTCTTTCTATGGTGCCATCTGGGCACTTCTGTCACTAATCACCATTTTTGTAGGCAGGCTGTAGTTGCAGACCCGGTTGAGTAAGTTTGTCCAGTATTTTTTTTCTTTAAGTAAATTGCAATGGTTGTTTCATGTTGGGTTAGAAGATGTTCCAACCGGACAGACGGTTTGGCAAAGTGCAGTTTTCACTTAATCCCAAAAATCAGGAAATGCGAAGGACCTCAAACAGAGGAGCTGAGCGCAGAACGTCATCGAGTCTGGCTTGGAAACATCAACCACTAGGATCCGCCATGGAAGACGTCAGCAATCTGCTCCGATCACATTTTTTCCGGTAAACAAAAAATATATATTAGTCATTTTGCTTATGTCAGAATATAACTGGATGTGTACTGGAACTGCTCTGTTCATGATTTGGCACATCTCTACTGTAATTAGCTATGCTATGCTATGTGCTAACACTGTAAACACACAGGTAACAATGTCCTGGGTTCTCGTTCCGAGTTGAACCTGTGCTCTTTTTGTCTGGAGGTTGCATGTTATTATTTTGATTAAACCTTTATTGAACCAGTTAGATCTGAATGAGACTTAAAATCTCTTTTTCAAGAAAGACCAGGTCAAGAATGGCAGCAGCACACAGTCTTAAAACCAGAGTTGTTAAAGCACACTTAAAATAGATCATGATAAATTAATTAAGAAAAACAACAGCGGGGAAAAAAACACACACATAAAGTTAAAATTGTACTAAAATATGATTAAATAACAGTTACAGTATTTACAAACAAATGTGTCAATAATTAATATATGAACACACATGCACACACGCAATGTCTATAATATACATATTTTTTGAAAATGGCAACATTGTCAGACTAGAATTATCAATTTGTTTTGTGCCCCCCCCCCCTCACACACACACACACACACACACACACACAAACTTGTGTGAATAAGCAGTGGGATGCTGTCTGTACTGAAAATATTCCATAACACAAGTTAATATTTTGGTTATTGCATTCTACATTTGTAGCATTTGTTCTATTGAATTATGTCTTTCTTCAGGAAGGCCTGCAGACATGTACGACTAGTCAAACCCAGACTGGGCTCCTACACTGAAGTTAACAGACACACTTACTCGGAGCGAGTCAGCAAAAGAACTTCAACGATCAGAGTCAAAGCAGAACAGGTAGAAAAGTTAATGACACATGCAAGCTGCACAATAATTCAAAAATATTAAAGTAAATCCAAGATAAAACTTTCTATAATCAATATAAAATTGAATGTTGATTTTTTTGACTTAATAAAAATGTTAGTAGCAAATCTGTTTATTCTGCTTTGAGTAGGCAAACATGTAGTTCTACTTATAGACTTTGTGATGCAAAGATGACAGTGTTTACAAATGTTTCTTTTTCAAAAGGTACAGATGAGTGAAGGACTGAGTTCAATCCAAAGAAAAGCTCCAGTACACAAGCTCTTCTAGACCTGGGTACAGTCTCAGACCCTAGACCTGGGTAAAGTCTCGGATCCTGAGGTTTTGACTGCTCCAGCTGATGCACATGAAGACGAGGAATCAGTTCAAGTTTGCGACATGGTGCTGCAGCAGGAGGACATACGTACATGATTATACAGAACATGCTCCTATTTCTGAAAGTCAAGTTGATTCTGAATTGCAGAGATTAATAACAGAAAATATTGTATTAAAAAAATCAGTTAAATGATGTGGAACCCTACGCCAACTTGCATATTTTATGTTTTGTACATATCAATAAAACACATTCTAAATTAGTACTGTAAGTTGCCAGAGGACAATCACTTCACGTCAGTTTTATTTATGTGCATTAGAATAGTGCCTACAAATTGTACTGTTTAATATTGTTTAATGGATTTAATATACAAATATATATTAAATTTAATATTTATATTCTGTTAAATATTTAATATTTAGATTATTGTTTAGTGTTAAAAATGTGTTTAATGCTATAGAGAATAAACCGACACATCTGCAAAGCACCACCTGTGTATCTCTCATTTGTTTCATGAACCTGTGATTGTCATATTCTTAGTGAGTTTAAAAGGGTTTATGCATAGCATAATGCAAAGCATATACTTTCAGTTTGTGTGATTTGAGGATGGATTATTGCACCACAGCAGAAACATTTATATTGTAGGTGTTCAGTTGATGATGTGCAGACAGCATGTATTCAAAGTGCACTCAACTTGACTCAATCTTGGTGGTTTGCATTAATTTGGTGGTGATGGCCTGGGATAGTATCAAATTCCCAGCCTGGATTATTGTCCCAGCCCGCCCTTGGACTTTTGTGCTAGGCATGGGCTGTCCATAACGAGCACCATGTTTGAGCATAGGGTGGGTCATATGTGTACTTGGTACCAGGCCACCTTAGGCCAAAGGTCAATGAATGATTTTATAATTGGTCGTCTGATCTGCTGCCCTATGTCTTGGACCACAGGTGTCAAACTTCAGGCCTCGAGGGCCAGAGTCCTGCAACTTTTAGATGTGTTTTTGATGCCACACAGCTGAATCAAATAAGTAGGTAATTAGCAGGACTTTGGAGAACTTGACTGCACTGAGAAGCTAATTCAGTCATATGATTCAGGTGTTTTGGACCAGTGGAACATCTAAAAGTTGAAGGACTCCGGCCCTCGAGGTCTGGAGTTTGACACAGACACTTGAGTGAAAAGAGGGGCAGAGCTATCAACTGAGCACCACCTCAGTTGGATCCGATGGCGTGGGAAGCTGCCGGACAGACATGGTAAACCTACATGTATAGTGACGATGAATTGGGAACAAATGGTGGAGCTGTCCCCTGTCCATGCAATTTTCAAATCACACCCATGGGAGAGTTTTTCACATCCCAGGGGAGGTCAGCAAGAAGTGACTTTCAGGAGCTGTGGCCTAAGGGTCATTGGTGCCTGTCATGGTGGCAACCAAAGGACCCTATGGTAGACACCAGCGGTGATGGAGGTCATCTGGCTGAAGAAGGATGCCTTCGGGATTTGGCTGTCCCAGAGGACTCCTGAAGCAGCTGACATGTACATGGAGGCAAAAAGGACTGCAGATTTGTTGGTTGAGGATGCAAAAGCTGGGTATAGGAGGAATTTGGGGAGGCCATGGAGAAAGACTTTCGGTTGGCCTCAAGGAGATTCTGACAAACCTTTCGGTGACTCAGAAAAGGAAAGCGGCCCCCTTCCCAGGTTGCGCTTGGTTTGGGTGGGGAATTGCTGACCCGGACTGAAGATATTGTTGAGCAGTGGAAAGAGCACATCGAGGATCCCTTTAATCCACCCACCATGTCTACCTTTTAGGAGCCAGATTCTGAGAACTTGGGGGAAGACATATCAATTACCATGGCAGAGGTCACTGAGGTAGTCAAATAGCTCCTCGGTAGCAGGGTGCCAAGGGTGACGAGATGCGCCCCAAGATGCTGAAGGCTCTAGATGATGTGGGGCTGTCATGTTTGAGACATATCTTCACTGTTACATAGAGGAATGGAACAACACCTGTGGAGTGGCAGACTGAGGTGGAGGTTCCCATTTTTAAAAGAGGGACCGGAGAGTGTGTTCCAGTTATCATGGGATCACACTTCTTGCCCTTCCCGGAAATATTTGGGTTCAAGGTGACTATTATTGTCATTCGCATCCCATGTGGTACATGAAGTGGAATGAAATTGTGTAGTCAAGGTCCCAGTTACACCCAAAATACAAAAATAGCAATAATATAATATAAAGTATATTAAAAAAGAAGAAATGGCATACAAGGCTCTAAGATATCTCTTGGACCCGTTGCTTCCATGTCCTGGTTACAGATAAGCGGTAGAAGATGGATGGATGGATAATAACAAGAACCCAGCAGTAACTGAGTCTCTGTATGTAAATCTTGAAAAAGAACATTTTTGTCACAATTTTATGATTTTTTTTTTCAGCTTTCTAACGTTTTCTTCAGAAAACACTAACATCACCACAGACTGTCCAATAGTTTATGGTATAATATATGATAGACATATTAAAAAAAGGTTCATATTCATGTGACAGCTTTAAAAAACATAATTTAAAGGCCTTGGAGCTGCAGGTTAATTGTTTCTCTAAGACCAAACAAGAAGCACAAAATGAACTAGCTGTTTTTTCTAATCAGTTAAAAAAAAAAATTTTTCACCTAAAAAATATTTTAAAGATATCATGTAAATTAAGAACAATGGCCTTCCTGCTACATCTTCTCTTCTCCTAATGTACAGGTGCGTGTTGCGGGCCGCTACATTACGCTTCTGCTGGATCCTCATTCGTACGATGCCGTCATCAATGACTCGGACTCACTGGACTTCAGCCGCTATGCACAGGTGCTCATGAGCAGAATCTTCAACCTGGAACTTCCTCCTCAGCAGCCGGCTAAGGCAAAGATGATGACGAAGAGGTATTCCTTCACCATTAAATGCCTTTTTGTTTTTATTTTGTGACCTCACCTGCCAAACGGCAGTTCAGAGTATCCGGCCTTCTTGGAATTCTTAGCAAAGGTGCTGGAAGGCTGAGGTCACCAAGATACTTAAAAAGCTATGTGGTGGCAGGGCTCTGGAGGTGCATGAGATCCACTCTGATTTCTTGAAGACTCTGGATCTTGTGGGGCTTTCTTGGTTGACACACCTATTCAACTGGGGGGCAGTGCCGCTGAATTAGCAAACTGGGGTGGTTCCCCTGTTCAAAAGGGGGACCGGAGGATGTGCTTCAATTATAGAGGCATCACTCTCTTTATTTTCCCTGGTAAGTTCTATTCAGGGGTACTGGAGGAGCGAGCCCGATCACTGGTCGAACCTCGAATCTAGGAGAAACAATGCGGTTTATGTCCTGACCGTGGAACACTGGAACAGCTCTTTACCCTCAATAAGGTCTTTGAGGGTTCATTGGAGTTTGCCTATCAAGCCTACATGTGTTTTGTGGACTTGGAGAAGGTGTTTGACCATTACCCTCAAGGTACACTGTGGGGGGTGCTCCATGAGTATGTGATTGTGGGCCCATTGCTACAGGCTGTTCAGTCCATATTAAAGCAGTGCAAGAATTTGGTTTACATTGTTGGCAGTAAGTCGAACCCCTTCAGGGTGAGAGTTAGACTCGGCCCAGGGTGCCTGTTGTCACCAATTCTGTTCATAACTTTCATGGACAGAATATCTCAGTGCAGCCAGGGTGCAGAGGGAGTCCAGTTTGGTAGCCTCAGGATTCCTTCTTTGCTATTTACAAAGGATGTAGTCCCGTTGGTGTCATTGTGCCGTGATCCTCAGCTCTCACCGGAGCGGTTCGCAGCCGAGTATGAAGTGGCTGGGAGGAGAATCAGCACCTCCAAATCTGAGGCCATGGTCCTCAGTCAGAAAAGGGTGGATCGCTCTTTTTGGGTCAAGGATGAGGTTCTGCCTCAAGTGGAGGAGTTCAAGAACCTTGGGGTTTTGTTCACGAGTGAGGGAAGAATGGAGCATGAAATTGACAGATGGATTGGTGCAGCATCTGCAGTATTGCAGACTCTGTACCGGTCCTGTGTGGTAAAGAGGGAGCTGAGCTATAAGGCAAAACTCTCTGTTTACCAGTTGGTCTACATTGCTACCCTCACCTATGGCCTCAAACTCTTGGGCGTGACCGAAAGAACGAGATTGTAGATACAGATGGTTGAAATGAGTTTCCTTTTTAAGGTAGCTGGACTCTCCCTTAGAGATAGGGTGAGAAGTTCAGGTATTTGGAAGAAACCACTGCTCATCCACATCGAGAGGAGCCAGTTGAGGTAGTTTGGGCATCTGGTAAGGATGCCCCCTGGATGCCTCCCTTCTGGAAGGATTCCCAGAAGAGCTTGAAGAGGTGACTAGGGAAAGAGATGTCTGGGCCTTCTTGCTCAAGTAGCTGCCTCCGCAAACTGACTTCAGAACAAGCGGAAGATGGATGGATAGAGGGATGGATGAACCTCACATGGAAGTGAAACTGTCGTGGAATCTGACTCACCAGGTCACATTCAAGGGTTTCACTGTGGGACTGTTTCTCATTTTTCTTGTTTTGTTTTTTAGATGCTTTGTATTGTTGTCAAACATTCATTAGTAGAGAAATATATTTTTATGGGTTAATGGCTTTCTGTGTATCTTTGAGAGGAGAGGAAGGAAAAAGTTTTTAAAAGTTAAAGTGATTAGAATTCAAATCTTTGAAGTGGCGTTTGGTTGAAAGGTTATGACAGTTAATATCTTACCTAATGCAGATATTTATTTGAATAACCCTAGTTTAGTTAATAGTTTTATTCTGGGAAGATTTGTGAGCTAATAGCTTGTCTGAGTGGGATGGATACCAATTGATTGTTGCTGTTTTAAAACAACAGCAGTTCATGCACTTTTTAAAATGCTTTAACTCTCAGTCACATCTGCATTACACATTAATAATGCTGTTTTGTTCTTTTTAATAAATATGTAAAGTCAAACAGGTAGTAGAAGTTTATGAAATGGCGTTCATGAGAACTTTTATGAAATTTCTAAGATTGGAGTAGTTTTTAGACATTGTCAATCCACTTTGGCCTCAGTCTCATTCTGACCTTTTATCAGAATAAAACTAGTTCAAGTGGCGGTTGTTCCAAAAGCTATCTACAACAGGTAAGATATTAATTGTTAATAATGTTTCCACAGAACCCCACTTCAAAGGATAACTTTGATACAATCTTCTTCGTTAAGTTTGTTTTGGCACACTGCTGTTTCCATACTGCATTAGTATTCTGCAACTTACTCCTTTTATGTTTCCAGCTTTTCCAGTTTTCTAAAAAGAGCGCTGAGTGGTGCTTGCTAACAAAGTGTGCCACTCAGTAATTATGCTTCTTAACTATACCATCAATCATTGACACGCATAAAAGGTGCAGCCCTTTAGTGGTGCCCCAGTTTACCTTTTCTTCCTTCACCGTTCTGTAACATTTTGCGTCTGCAGGCACTTCCTGGGCAAGAATCTGTCCACACTGAACAGAACCATGAGCCGGCACCTGGGGACCCTGCTGAAAACTGAGATGCAGCACGACCAGAGGAACTGGAAGGAGGAGGGACTGTTCAGCCTCTCCTATCGCTTACTTTTCAAGTAGGAGCAAACTTCATCCTCCCACACAAAACTGTTAAAAGAGGCATGTTTAAAAAAAAAACTTTTGCTAAACAGTTTATGCACCAGTCCAGTTGGTGATCTTCTGTTTGTAAGCACTCCACTCCATCCATGAATGTCAGGTCAGGTTTCCAGGTTTACATTTTCAGATGTGCTTCAGAACGGTCCTTTATGATGAGTCTCGTTACAAAAGGGAAGGTGGATTATGTGAAACAGGATCTGACTGTTTACTGTGATGTGAGGAGATGCTGTTTTAGGTGTGCCAGTGGAAACAAATTCAATCTCTATGTCTTGTGGTCTTTAAAAAGAAAAATCTGCGTAGGCTGCTTCATCGTTTAAAACAAACAGTTGTCATTCATGAATCATAAAGTGCTCTCACACTTCTCGTCATCTTTCTGCAGGGCGGGGTACCTCACGCTGTTTGGAGGGGAACAGAATAACAACAGCTCCAATAGTTCCGAAGTCTACAAGGAGTACAAGAAGTTTGACGGCTTCTTGTGCAAACTGGCAAGGGGGACACTGAAAGCAGGTAGAAACCGATTCTGACTCTTCCAAATGGGTTCACTGGACAACATGGTGACATTTAGACCACCTCTGCAAGTCATGAGTCAGATCTAAGCATTTCCTCACTGTTTACATCCTGCCCGACGTGGTTTTATATCACTTGTCTTGTGTTTGCCCTGTCAGTTTGCACTTACTCAGCTGCTTACATAGCGTCTGCGATTTGTGTTTTTAACGGTTTAGCTTCACCTCACAAATGTTGACCTAACTTACAACATAACATGATAGTCTGGTGGTGTTTGTCTTCATCATCCACCCAAACTGCATGTTTCCTCCAGCTGTGTGCACCATAACTCAGGCTGAGCTCCTCTCACAGACTTATCTGTTTAAAGACCCACTTTGGGATCAAATGTTTATATTTTTTCTGTGACTCACTCCTCCTTGGAATGTTTATCTCTGTGCGTGTGTGAGACAGAGGAGAAGAAGACAGCACACGGTGTTCAGAGAAGACTCTGGGAGCTTCTGGCTTCAGCAGGTCTAACTAATGACTCGGGATCAAGCATGTGGCTCCACGCCTACAGACGACTCCTGCAGGAGGACGGGGTTGACGAGGAGACGCAGAGAAAGGCGCTGCTGATGCAACTCTGGGCCTCACAGGTGAGTCAGGCCACCGAGGAGTGGCTTTCACTGTGAACAAAGAAAGGAGTTCAGTTGGAGATTAAGTTTAAAGATGAGAATAGAACACCTTTCCCAATGTGATCAAAGAGATAGGACGTCTTTGTAAATTTTCAGTGTTGTAATGTAACAAAGTAGAAATACTTTGTTACTTTACTTAAGTAGAATTTTGACGTATCTTTACTATACTTTGTTATTTAAATTTCTAGCGACTTTCACTTTTACTCCACTACATTTCCTCAATAAAATGTGTACTTTTACTCCAGTACATTTCCCTTAACCATCTTAGTTACTCGTTCCTACAATATAAAATTTGAAGAAATCTGATTGGGCAATGCCTGTTTGTTCTCCCAGTCTGCGACTTCACGCGGCCCCTTCTCTCACTTTCACTCACAAACCCAGCCCCTCCACCGCCACTTATGTGAAAACTGCAGCTCCCACTGTGAACAAGCTGGATGCATATGCAGATCTCAATCAGTCTTTGTTGACTCACAGTGGAGCCACTGTAAATTCATGATAGATGTGAAAATGATGGTAGCTCCTAAAAAGGAGGATTGGTGTTCTCCAGGACATTAACTGCTTTAGAGCAGCAAAGTGAAGTTGTTGGGCCACTAGTCGTCCCATTAATGAACACAGAGACAGATATCCAGTTTAGGGTGATTTATTTGCTGTGTTTCTTCTGGTATTTACACACAGCAGTAAACCAGTAAAGTGCAAACAAGCTTGAACAACAAGGTTCCGTCCGTGTCAGGAGAGAAAAAAAAAATCCAACTGAGGTCTGCACTTTACACAGAGCGATGCATTCACTAGCGTTGGAACAGCCACGGTGCATTCAAAAGCATAGGAACCATTAAATTCAGAAAGAACCAAGCCATAACCAAACAGAACCGAGCTCAGTAAACAAACCAACACAACAATGTGAGCTTTCTAACAGCTTTGAATGAATAATCTTTCATTGTTCAGTTCAAACTTTCCAAGTTTTTATCACTGGATATTGCACCCAATAAATGTTGTCTTGGAAATTCTAACCATTTACTTTTACTTAATACTCTTACTTTAAGAACATTTTATATGATAAATTTACTTTTGATACTTAAGTACATTAAATGTGAGATACTTTAAGACTTTTACTCAAGTAATAATTTTAAAGGAGACTAACTTTTACCGAAGTAATTTTATGGTAAGATACTTGTACTTTCACTGAAGTATCACTTTGAGGTACTTTATACAACACTACGTTTTATGTGTCCACAGAAACAAGAATTTAATAAAATGAGATGCAGTACTAGTTTTTTGACACACGAGGGTGCTGTTTACCTCAGATTAACTGAACACAGAGTTGATAGTACTGTATTCTGGGAAGTTGCTTTAAAACAGGCTTTGTTTAGTCTGTGTCAAGACAGTGCTCCTAAGGAATCATTTTTTTAGATTAAAAGTACAACATTCCTGAAGGAGTGCATATCACCCACCACCTTTCATTCCAGAGTTTTAGACTAACATCATCTTATATTTAGAAATAATGGATCTGCAGACATTTTGGTCAAGCATAAAATTTTACATGATTTCCATGCAATAATGTGAGCGTTCGCACTCCGAGTATCTGTTGTGTATGACTCTCAGCTGCTACCACGCCACAATTCAGGTCAATGTTTGTCAAATTGAGTGAGTTAAGCCAAATATGTGTTTTTAAGCAGCCATCTTGAATCACGTTGACTTTAAAAATCATTTGTGGATGTACATCTGATTATTGGTTCGAGAGATCATTTTGTAGAAGAGCGTCACTCATAGACTAAACCTTATCAGCCATGGATAACTATAATGAAGCAAAGAATCTTGTAATATACAAATAACTTTACCTAGCAATGCAGAAACATCCTTCCTTTCATTTTTAGCTCTAACAATTAGAAAAATGTATTTGTGGCTGTATTTTTATTGTTCGACCTGTTAAATTTAGCTTTTTCTAAGTTTTCTCTAACAAAGATCTTCTAAATGAACTTGATTCTGACTCAGTCTTTCCTGCTTTAGAAGTTTTTCTGCATCAAAGATCTGTCCTGGCCTCAGCCCTCAGGTTATTTACTCACCTATGCCCTCTGGATTTATTAATCATACATTTTAAATCAATGTTTTTAGTTTATAAATAAATATAAATCACCAGGAAAAGAAAATTAGAAACATTTCCATCCTATGTAGAGAATTCCTCTGGCAGTAAATGTATCAACAGTAATATAATCATACAGTACTTTGTACTTTGACCGGTACTAAGTTTAAACAGTGAAATAAATGTTTTAAATAAAATTTACTGTATAGAAGTCAGAATGTGGTAAAATATTATTTACAAACAGCGTATCTTTGATGAATACACAGTTTCTGTAATGAAAAATGTTCACTTGAAAAAAATCAGTGAATATGAGTTTATTTCCTGTGTTGCACTTCCATAAAACTCACCATTTTATTTTCAGCTCTGCTGTTTTTCCGACTGTCCTGCCTCCTGGATGCAGGCAGATGGCAGGGGACGTCGGGTTTCCAATGGCTTTCCTTTTTAAGTAAACCATCACTGCACTGGGCTGTGCCAGAAGTGATTTAATCCAGAGCATGGCTCTTCTCATCCCAGACACATGAAAGAAAACCCTCCTTATCTGTCCTCCAGCTCTATAAAAATCATTGGGCTTCTTCATTTCATTAAAAATCTGGGCTTTGTCGTGACTCAAACAGACGGTAGATTTGCGAACTGTGGGTGTCATGTGATCCATGTATTTACTGTCATCAGAAAACCACCTGCGCTGTCACTACGCAACGCCAGAGTGAGAGCTCTTATCTCCAGGCTCATGCGAGTTTCGCTCTATTTTCCAGGGTAACGTTGGCCCTGCTGCGTTTTGGCTTCTGGGCTACCTGTTGACAAATCCTGAAGCTCTGACTGCCGTAAAGAGGGAGTTTGGCCAGATCTCAAAGATGGAAAACTCAGGGACTCCTCTCCCGGACAGAGACATGAACACTCCTGTGTTTGGTGAGGAGATTTTGCTGACAGAGAAGTGATGTTTCGAGAGAAATGTTAGTGTATTTTCACTATAATGCTATATTTATTTTAGTATATATATATATATATATATA